GGAAGGAGTACTTTTGTAACTTCTACTTAATTGTTATAGCTATTTGATTTTCTTAGGAGAAATAAATATATTCTTTAAGTTTTCTATAGACATTTATTTGTTGTCAATTCAGATTAATAAGGTCAGTAACCACAGAGAGTAGTCCTACTATGTTATAGTTAAATATAACTTCTATAAAATTATGCAGTTCTTCAAGTGCAATTACTGCATCCAGAACATATAGGAGTAATATATCATTTTCTTGTGATATTGCTATATTGTTTACGAGTTCTTCCAAATTTTTATACACTTTTCATTATCAGATATATCTAATGTTATCAATAATTAACTATATACATCTGAGCATATCAACTAGTTCATCTTATAACTTCATCAGGAAATTTTTTTTAGTGAAAATTTTCCAAATTTAACGTTAACATAAGTATTTTGCTATTTTTCAATATGTTATTCTTAGAAAGTCTTTGTTAACCTTCGAAGGTTATTGATTTTGATATTTTCATGTGACGAAATTTTGCAAATATTATTATTTTCATAGTAAATTCATATCGATAACTTTTGAAAATTATCAATTTTGATATTTTTATAAACGAAATTTTATGAATATTATCATTTTCGTAGTAAATTCATATCAATAACCTTCGAAAGTTATCAATTTTGATATCTTCATGTATGAAATTTTGCAAATATTATTATTTTCATAATAATTTCATATTAAAAACCTTCATTTATGTTAGATATTTATAATATATCATTTTGATGGTCATCACTTACATTTATATCGCTACGATTTTTAATTGACATTAAACTGTCAATGATATCTTTCGAAGTTTATCGTAGCAATTTTAATTGACATTATATTGTTAATAATATGTTTTGAAATTTATCATATCATTGATTATCATTTCAAAATTTTCTTCAAAGGTTAATGTTTTTTGTTTGTGTAACAAGATCAGTTATCTCATATGACTTATTATTTAACTATATATTCTTTTGTTTAGATTCAGAATAACTACTTTTACTCTTTAAACAATTCAGATAAAACTCTTCAAAAAGAAATAAATTTATATCTTCATATTTTTATTATTGTTATATTAAAATATATCAAATAAAAAGTAATAATTTAAGATATATTTAATAATATTTATTGACTTGTGTCAACTTTATTTTATAACTTAACAAGTAAATAAATATATTTTATACTTTGTTTACTTTTAGGAATATCTCATTAACTTTAAGATATACTTATAAAACACTTCGAAATGGTATTTTTATATTTTCCTATAATTTATTCTGTTGTTATATCAAGTACATTAATTTTATAATACTATTACTTGACCTATGCAATTTTATTTTGTAATATAAGAATATAAATAATATATATATTAATAGAATATCTTCGAAAAGATGAAAACTAATAAGTTATTTCTGCAAATTTATACAGTAAAAAAATTTAAAATTTTTCTGTATAATTTAAAGATCTTTTTTAAAGAATTTATATTATTAAATAATTATATTAAGGTTTTATGTTGTAGTATTTAGAATCATAACAGGTTCTCCCTTTGTTAACATATTTATAACAACAATATAAGTATTCAAACTATTTATTTGAAAAAATTAATTTATTTCGAATAACAAAATGTTACAATATTTAATTATATATAAGTATTTTAAAGATATACAATACAATATATTCTGATGGTTCAAATAATAGAAAATTCAAATTAATAATATTAACTTTAATTATTATAATAAAAAATTTATAAGAAATTTGAAAGAAATTTTGAAAAAATCTCAAAAAGGTAAATAAACATCTTTCAAACTTTTGTAAAATTATGAAAAAACAAAACAAAAACTAAAATATTATTATCTTTAAAAAAAAATAAAGATGAAAAGAAGTATCAAGTAATGTAATATTAAAGAAAATAGAAATCTACATCATATTTAAGAATTACATAGAAAATAGTTACCCTACATTATTACATTATTGTATGAAAATATATAGAAAAATAGAAAAAAATGTTATAAAATATTTATTATTATCTTTTAATAATAAAATTAATAATAAATTACATAAAAATTCAGAAAGTAATAAAAATATTATGAAATAAAATTTTTCACAATATATATTGAATTACAATAAAAATGATTAAATTCGAAGTAATTCGAAAATGATAAACTTGAAACAAAATATATTAAAATACTAGCTGTTAAATTTCGAAAGTTTATGTTATAATTAAAAAATTTAGCATTGAACTTCGAAGATTTTTAATAATAAAATAATATTTATCAAAATTTAACCATTAAATTTCAATTTTGAAGGGTTGCGACACAATTGATAACCTTCGAAATCTAATGTTATGATATAATTTTGAAGGTTTTCGAATTAATATAATTACTGATGTTGTTGACTTGTTTATAAAAATTTTCATAGATTTTTAGATAATTCATTTTTCATATTTGTTTATAATGGGGGTGTTATTTTTTCTTATATATTCAGAAACTTTTATATACTGCTATTGTTTTCTGTCATTTTATGTAAGATAAAAGTCTCTTTGTTTATAGAACTTTAGACAGTTTTTGTATACAGGTTAATTATTATATGTTTCTTTACTTTTAGTTTATAATATATATGATCTGTTACCCAGGACATGATAGATGAAATGAGATTCTATTTATTTGTTTTGAAACTTGTCACTATAAATATTTTATAAGTCTCATTAGTTTTGTATATCATTATTTTGACTTTTTTGTCATGAACTTTTTTCACCTCACTTGAGCATCCTTTATATTTCTGGTAGCTTTAATTCTTTATTTGTAAATATTTCTATAACTTTATTAACCTTCCTGTTAACTAGATCTTCAAATTGCTCTTCAGCTATCTCTGTAACTGGTCATGTAATGATATTAAAGATAGGAGTATAACCATATAGCAAATAGAAAGGTTCATATTTTGTCATTCTATTTTTAATTGTTCTGTATATAAAAAGTACTGGAAGTATCAACACATTCTAATTACATATCATTTATTATATGCATTTTTTCAAAACTTTATAAAGTGTTTGATTGAACTGGTCTCTTAGTTTATTATTTTGTAGATGATATGTGAATATAAGTTTATAATGAGTTCCTATTATGTTCATTAACAAATACTACTTCTCTATCTGACAGTATTTCTTATAGACATCTGTAATGACATATAATTTCATCATATAGGAACCAGACAACAGTTATCACATTTGCCTTTTCTATTGCTCTTACTTTTGATTACTTTGTAAAGTAATCTATAGTTACTGTGATATATTTCTTTATTGTAGTTATTTGTTTTAAGTGTTCTATAATGTCTATGCCTAATTAATTAAAGGTTTAGTCTACTTTAATAGGTTGCAACTCTTCAATTTTTGTAAGCTTGCCTTGTCATTGACAAATGTCACAAGTCTTTACATACTTCTTTATATCTGCACTCATCATAAGTCAAAAGTATTGTTGTCTTATTTTATTAATTATTATCTTTATATCAAAATGTTCTACATTTGATATACTATACATATTGTATAATATTTTTTACTATTTTATTCTTTAATATTATCTATAATAGGCTGTTGTCTTTATTCCATTTAAACAATAAATTGTCTTGTACAATATAATGATTTAATTGATGTCATAATTGTCATAATTGCTTACTTGTTCAATTCAGTAGAAGAGAGTAGTTAATTAAGTATTCTATTATTTAATTGTAAATGTCTGTGTCTATTTTGAAAGGTTTCATAAGTTCTTTACTATTGGTCTAAGTTTCTGTATCTCTTCCTTTTGTTTTTAGTACTTGATATAAAATAGGGTATATATGTTAATATTAAGATGTTTTTGTTTGTAAATGATTTTATAATTGTACTTGGATAATTCAAGGATCCAATGAACAATTTTTTTCTTTAGCTATGAACAGTTTTTAATTATATAAATATTAGGTTGTTAGTGTACAGATCAAACTTGAGACCATATAAGTAATACTTAAAATATCATATAGCCTAAATAGTTACGAGATATTCTTTCTCAACAACAGTATAATTTTATTTAGTATTACTCAATAATTAGCTGGCATAAGTAACGGGATGTTCACGATTCTCCATATCTTTTTGTGAGAGCACTGTTTCAATATTACAATTGAATATATTAGTGACAAGTATAAATTATTTTGCAAAATTTAAATAAGTTATAATAGATACTAAAGTTAGACAACCCTTTAGCATATCAAATATAAACTGATATTGATACTTTCATTCGAATACAATATCATTTTTTGTAAGACTATATAATAGTTTTGCAACAGTAGAGAACTCTTTTATAAATTTTCTATAATAAAATGCAAGTTCTAGAAAGGCATGTACATTTGTCTTATCTCTTGAATTAGGAGCTATCCTTTTGATCATTATAACATACTTCAGAAATGTTAATCTTGTTTGAAAAAAGTTATATTTTTTTAAATTTATTTTTAACTCCATGTTTCTCAGTAAGGTGAATACAGTCCTCAGATGTTTCTAGTTTTCTTCACAAGTTTTTAAATAGATAATGATATTGTCAATGTACACAAGTATGAATTTCTAGATGACTTTATAAAAGACCTTATCTATTACTCGTTAAAATATTGTGGAAATATTTATAAATCTAAAATATATTATAAGGAATTTATATATTTCAAATGGAATGATGAAAGCTGTTTTCTTGTAATCTTTCAATGCTATTTCTATTTGCTAGAATTTTGATACCAGGTCTAAGGTAGAGAAGAAAGTGAAATGTCTTAAGACATCTAACATATCAACTATCTTTGGAACTAAATAAGTATCAAGTTTTGTAACTGTATTTAATTTTTTGTAATCAATGTAGAGTCTGAACTTCCTGTTCTTTTTATTAATTATTACAGTAGTTGCTGATAATAGACTAAATATTTTTTCAGTTAACTTATTGTCTAACATGTGTTCTATTTTCTTTTTCAAAAATTCTAAATGTCAAGATGAAGTCTGATATAGGTACAACTTGATGGGTTTTACCTTTTCAACATCTATAGTGTAATAGACATTGGTTTTCTCAAGTTGTGACAGGTCATTTACTGCTAAGTTAAGAACTAATAATTATGTTAATTTTTTTTGAACATCTCTATATCTTCTCATACTAAGTTACAATGGACATTCTAAATTTTGTCTCTTGGTATTATTGATATGGCTTTCCATTCTTATAACTTTTTTTTATACATTTTACACTCGTTCTCTTTAATCTCAAGATACTCATTACATCAACAATAGGAGTTTGGTTTTGTAACTATTTGCTTTCTTACTCTATGCTTTTTTTTTTTGATTATGTCAAAAGAATATGTTAGTTAATTATAGGTTTTCCAAGTGGTACATTCTGAATTTGTGTATATTTCTTTGAAAGTAATTTTATATTTTACTCTAGATTTTTGTGTAGCAGATCGTATAAGAGGTTTACAAAGTTTACCTTGTTATCATCAACCTCCACATCCAAATTCTCACTATTTCTATCATATTTTTTCTCACTTTAGTTATTATTATTACTATTCACTAACACTTAATTGATATTTTTACAAGAAACACTAGTTATTTTTTTTTCATCTCTTAATATCAATTTACAATCCTAATAGTCAATTATTGTGTTTACTCTTTTTAATTAGTCAGTATCAAGAACTAGAGAGTATTCAGATTTGTCAATAACTTTTATATCAACTGCTATAATCATGTTTCTTATTTTTATAGGAATTTGAATTACAATTCCTAAACTGGAACATTTTTCACCATAAATACCTATTATTCTTCTTTCAGATGGTTCTTAATTTTTCATCCAATAATTTCATGAAGTTTTTTAAAATGATATTGAAGAAGAACCTTATCAGTATTACTTTGACTTTTTATTCTACAACCTGTACTTTATATATCATAGGCATACTTTTTTCTATTTTCATATAGTTGATAACTCTTATTATCTTTGTACATTTGGGTACTAAAGCTTTCTGTATATTATATGCTGTTCTAAGGCAATTCTGTCTTTTATATTCAGTAAGTCAGAGACAATAGAATATGGTAAGACATTTTGCATTATATATAGTTACTATAGAGAAGATACTTTTTTTTTCTTCTTTTATCAGAATTCTTTGAACACTTCTTTAGCTTTTCCTGAACATAATCTTTTCACAATGAGTTGAGTCACTTATTTACTTGTAGATCTGGAAACTTCAATTACTATTGTATTGCCTGTGCCAGTTTTCAATAAGGGATTTGTTTCTTTTGCACATCTTCCTTCTGGAAATATACTTAGTAATTTAAATACTGTATTCCTTCTTAGGAAGTAGTAGATAATCATTCAATTTCTTCTTGTTGTGTTATAAATATTCTTCTATTTGTATTATTTAATGATATCTGGTTTACAGATTAATTCATAGCAGCATTAGTTTAAGGTTAAACAGTTTTAGTTGACTTCTATATAGGTGATGTAACAGTTTTGACTATGTCATAACTTACGTAGTTAATGAGTGACAACTTTTACTTATTTCATTTATTTTATTTTATTTTTATTTTATTATTTATATTTTTATCTTTGTATTTTGATAATGAATGATAGCATATGTAATTAGCTTTGATATATAATAGATTTGTAATTCTATGTGTTAATCATTTATCTTATTTTATTTTATTTCTTTCATTATATTTTATTTATTATATTATCATATGTAACTATCCAAATTGGTCTTGTAAGACCTAAGATATTATTTATTATATATTTATATTATGTTGTCAACCATAATCTGATTTTCAAGGGATATGATTAACTATTGCTAAAGATGCTGTAGCTAAACTAAATATAACAAACTACTAACTAACTTATACTAAAAAGTATGATATTTGAAGGATTTAGATATTGCAAATTTGTTTGAAAGAGATAAGGCTATAAGATTTTTATAAAAGTTTGACTAAACTATTCACAAAGAATATAACTAAACTAAATTAAAACTAGTAATTCCTAACACTAAGTAGAGAATTATATAAAAAAAACAATATACCAAGATCACAAAGCAAGGTATAATTTAATAAGGGTTTCAGTATTCCACCAAGGAATAATACATAATTTCACTAAGAAATTACAATGGTATAAATAATAATTCACACGAATATTATTTATAAGACAAATTACAAAGTATTTTATTAACAAGAACTGAGTGTTAACTATTGAACTCGAATAGAGCTTGAAGAGAACTAATTGACTGGAACTGAGGACTGAGCAAAGAGAAATTCAGTCCTTTATATACATAATTGAAGTTATAATAGATTATTCTGTAGACTACACTAATGCATACATTATTAATTACACTAATGTATACACTATTAACTACACTTTCAACTACACTATCGATTACGCTATTGAATACATTATTGATTATGCTGTTCATTACATTTTAATTACACTCAGATCTACAGTCGTAATACTTAATAGTTGTACCAATTTCTAAATGATTTACGCTAATGGTTTCCTAAAATTTATACTAATAAAAATATGAAAGTAAACTAATAAAATATAGTTATAAATAAGTTAATACATGATAATAATAAAATAATAATATAATAAATGAATAAACTAAAAATATAATAATAATAAGATTTGACAACTAGGGTCAATAGTATTATTAGAGCCATCATCTTGTAACAATATTTCTGCTGGATTATTTTTGTTTTTATATTTTGCTCTTTGATATTTATTATTATATGCAGAACAAAGTGTATAAGAAAAGGATAAATTAAAATCAGTTCTATATTGGAATTTTATATTAGCATCTTGAAGTAATTTACTAGCTTGTGAAAAAGATATATTTGAAGAAAAGGCACAAGAATAAAATTGTTAATCAGGTATGTATTTTTAACTTTAGAAGGATGAATATTTTTATTAAATATATAATTTTCTTTGTCTATTTCAAAACAATATAGACATTTTGAGTAAATATAACAACTGTCTAATTGATAAATAATTGAGCTTTTGATTTTTTTAGAAGACATTTAAAGGTTTTGAGTATAAAACAAGAGAAATAAAAAACAAATAACCTTTAAATTTAATATGTGAGTATACTTGTACGCAAAATTATTTTGAAGTCCCAAAATTACAATTTTGGAGAAAAAAGTTGAAATAGTTTTTAATAAAAGACAAAATTATTTTACTTAAAACCTGAATTTTTTTGATCATCCAGATTTATTCTTTGATTAAATATATACATAACTGGGTACTTTTTTTACTTCTATATATAGAATAGATTCTGTATAACTCTCAAAGAGTCAAAAATCCAAAATCAGTTTTGGAAATATATATATGTGTGAGATTTAATTTTGATAAAAATTTATTGGATAATCTGAAATGTGATATAAATTTTTATAAAATTTTATTAGTCTAAATTTGAAGATTATGTATGTTGTTGACTGTAATTACCTTTACTAAGTATGATTAACTAACAACTGATAACAGGAAAACTATTGTCCAAAATATCACGAAGTAATTGGACGAATATGTTACAGTTGGAAAGTTTTATACTTGAAGAGATATAAGGAGTAAAGGATTTGAGGTTGCAGATTTGTTCTAAAGAGGCTAAGGTGTGAGGTTTTTAAAGGGATATGAGGTTTTTAAACAATATGACACTAAGTCAACTAATATTCATACAGAATATTATAAGTTTCACACAGAAACTACAGAGATTCACACAGAATTAATACAATTAATCAAGATCACAAAGCAAGGTTAATTATAGGCAAAATAATACTGAGATCATGAAGCAGGGTATTATTTGTCAAAAAGTATTTCACTAAGAAATCAAAGATTTCAAATTATTATTTGTCACAAAGACTTTTATTAATAATTTATTACATATATCGAGTTCAGAATATATTCAAGTTC